GCAGCAGCAGCAGCAGCACAGGCGCACGGGACTCTGGCGCGGCGGGCTCGGTAAGCCGTGCCTCGTCTTCAAGCTTGCTTTCGTCTTCCTTTCACAAATCTACAGGCGGAGGCGCAGGAGGCATGCCGTCCAGTAGCAGCGGGGCTGACAAGAGGAAAAAGTACGGATATATCCCTGATACCTTCACCTCCATCGATCAGGTTCGTTGCTCAGTACTTCCTTTCTATATTTTCGTTAATATTTATTTTTTTCCCTTTTGCGTGCGGTGTTCTGTTTTACTGTTTTATCTGGTAAAGAAAATTGTTTGATAGTTGAATTTTGTGAGACGATTGTTTATCATGTCTATTGAGATTTGCATAGCCATTCTTCCGATTCATCAATTGCACTCATATGATCATGATTTTGATGAAATGCGTTGCGCTAAGAGTTTTTTGAGTCCACGCTAATGGTAGACAAACAGTTAACCTGGTGGGTCTTTAGAAGACCAAGTAAAGGCCATCAGTATTTGGCATTGTTGACTTTGGAGATGCTCTTATATTTGGATATCAAGTGAGTGGATATGGATTAGTAAATCAACCATCACTATGCAACTTGTAACTTGTAGGTGCTAAAGCGGCAGCTCGTATTATTATTATGACTAGTAGGGCACCAACCTACCGCGCGACTTGATGTTAAAAAGTGCACGTGTAAATATATTTTGATTAAGTACTAAAATAACTATAACAACTACCTCTAAAATATAGAAATATTAAATAAAAATATTAATCATTAAACATTTGGAAACACTTTAATTTAGTATAGATTATTTGAGGTTATTATCATCTCAAATGATAATATTTAATTCAACTCAAGAAATGACACAAATACAGTGAATAGATATATTTCCCAAGATTGTATGCTTGTGGAGGCAATGCATATACATATACAATTCTAATGGTAAAGGTATGAAGTAATCTTTTTGACTTGGAACATAAAAATATAATACCATCAATTTGCTACTTAAATGATGGATTGTTGGGTAATGGCCGAGAACAAACAAAAAATGCTGTTCATATATGCCTGCATGGTTGCATCTGAGCGGAATATGCATAGGAAAAGTGGTAATTTGGTTAAGCAAGCCCCACAACTCTCTGTAACATGTGGATATGGAAACTTGCTGTAGACATAAACCATGTAGCATTGTAGCTTGTATCAGACTTTGAAGATGACGGCATATCCAACTGGGAAAATATAAAATTACCAACAACCAAAAGTATAAGTGAAATACACTTTTGAGTGATATTTATTATTTCAATCCAACGGAAGTTGAATAGGTTATCCGCAATGTTGACACCGATGGTTCATTGTTAATGTCCTATGCCAGACAACAAATTATAGTTCTCGTCAGGCCTTGTAGAGATAATGACATAGTAGATCAAATAATTTCAGTTTGTATAGGTTTGGAAGTGCGTAGGCCAGTAAAACTTGCTCTCAGTGAGGAGTGCATGTTGTAGTTGTACTTTCAGCAAGCTTCTTGATTTTTGAGAATATTAGATAACGTACATGTGTGTGACCTAAACTAAATATGGGCCAAAAAGTTTATTCCCCAACCGAATGCTGGTTTTGACGTGTGTTGTTTTCATCTTTTGCTATTAGTGAACGGCATGTATGGAAACTCTTCAAGTTCATCTTCCTACTTTGTTTCTCAATTTGCTAGTGCTGGTGTTCCACATCCTTTCCATGATAAGCCAGGGTCACATGATTCTTATTAGTTGCCCTAGAAATTATGCGCTGTTTTATTGACCTCTGTACATTCGCGTGAGGGATGGCACTGCAGGAGCATGATAGAAGCTATGATGTTACCTACATCAGATCTTTGTGGCTTGCCGTCCTGGTCAAGTTAAAAATCTAAGCCTTTTTGCAACAGCTAAGAACAATAACTTGGTTTAGTTGTGAGCTGTTGTTTTCTAATTATGTGTTACCACCAAATTCAAAAACTTAAATCTAATATTTCAATGCCAGCTTTAGAATGTGTCTATTTTGTTCACATGAATTAAACGGCTCTATGTTCTTGACTAAACTATGTTGTCTTAGTATGCCTGACTATATTTCAAGCCCAAACCTTATTCTTTCAAACACGGATACATGTTGGCAGGTGACGGCGGCCTTGAGAGAATCGGGCTTGGAGTCATCTAATCTAATTATCGGAATTGACTTTACAAAAAGTAATGAATGGACAGGTTAGTGCAAAAATAGTTTTTTAACAAGAGGCTGCAGTTTTCTGCCGGATGATTGTGTGAAGAAGAAACTATGTGATTGATGTGATGCGGTGATAAATTTATCTTTAATATGGTAAATTGATTACCCTACTGTTTTGGGCCAAACCACTTAAGTAATCTAATTTATTTGGTAGTTTTCTTTACTAAATTACACTGCATTGGAGGAATACAAAAATAATCTAACTTACATCACTGATTGACCTGTTATCATATTAAATTTATTTTCATTACTAGTTTTCCATCCTTGTTACAGAAAATATATTTAAAGAATGCTAACACACAAACTTTGTATGTAAATTTTATTGATATGAAACTTTTAAGGTAAATTTTTTATGCAGGCATATATATTTTGTCTTCCCATATTTATATTTGGTGCTGGTAGCTGATGGAAGTTATTTCTGTAGGGAAAGTTTCATTCAACAACCGCAGCCTGCATGCAGTTGGTGATGTGCCTAATCCATATGAGAAAGCAATAGCTATCATTGGGAAGACTTTGGCCCCTTTTGATGAAGACAATTTGATACCTTGTTTCGGGTTTGGGGATGGTTAGTTATTTAAATTGTTGCATAATCATTGTAATAATTTGATATTAATTTTTTTACTTCTTTAAGTGTCGCCAGACAATAGTTAAGACATAAGTTTGTTATTGCTCGAGTTTTCCTTCAAAGTTTCCTTTATTTGCAGCAACTACACATGATCAGGAGGTGTTTAGCTTTCACAATGATCACTCTCCTTGCAATGGCTTTGAAGAAGTTTTGGCTTGCTATAAAAGAATAGTTCCAAATTTACGATTATCTGGTGGGCTTCTATATCTGCCTCAGCCTCATGTTTTCATTCCCATCAAATCTTCAAAAACAAATCCTAGTTAATTTTCCCAGCTCTCTCTGAATCTGTCTTTAGGACCAACATCTTATGGACCAGTGGTGGATGCTGCAGTAGATATAGTGGAAAGAAATGGTGGACAATACCATGTTCTAGTGATTATAGCTGATGGCCAGGTCTCTCTCTCTGTATTTCTCCCCCCCAAATTTTCATGAATTGTTATGTGTGTATATGCATTAATCACTTTATTGATGACCTACCTTTCTTCATAAGGTTTCAAGAACTGTCAATACGAATGAAGAGGAACTCAGTACCCAGGAAGAGAAAACAATTAACTCAATTGTCAACGCAAGGTATTAAACACTGTCCTACAAATTTGTGCATATTTTCGCTCTTCAAAGAATTTTGGTTTTGAGTTCCAGTTGCATTTCATTACCTGAAAATAAAACCTATACGTACTAACTACCGTCTCCTCTTCTCATTCCCCCTAACGAAAACACATACTTTCTTACATTTTCCAGACTTTCCTCAAAACATCCGAACATAACTGTACTAGTTTAGTTTTATTGTGTAAAGAAGAAAATCTTGGAAGCTTTAAGTGAAAGTGTTAACTTCCGTAGTAATTATTCTGTTGCAATATATAATTTAATCATAAATAAACTATATAAGATAGACCACTAGGTGGTATTCTTTTACCCCAAGAACTATTATCTGGAATTATCTACTGTGAGTGTCTTTGTATCTCAACTCTACTCGGTACCTAATTGACGCAATTTGTATATATTAATGTACCAAAATCTCAACCTTTTGCTGTCAGTTTTTATCCTCTCTCAATTATTCTTGTTGGCGTTGGTGATGGTCCCTGGGAAGATATGAAAAAATTTGATGACAAAATTCCTGCTCGTGAATTTGACAATTTCCAGGTATTTAATTATACTAGATTAAATTGGTTTGCTTATCTTAAATTACCCAAAAACTCAAAAAAGTGATTGTTTCTTTGTCACTTATCTCTTTTATTTGCAGTTTGTAAATTTCACGGCTATCATGTCCAAGAACTCATCACCGTCTGGAAGAGAGACAGCCTTTGCTCTTGCCGCGCTCATGGAGATTCCCATCCAATATAAAGCAACAAAAGAATTTGGTATATTAGGGTACGTACTCTGTGTTTTCCGTTACCTGCTAGTACCTAAAGTAACTTTTCAACATGCTTTAGGCTTTCAGGAAAGGCTGAGTTTGGCATAGCTCTTGTTCCATTTTGAATGTCAAGATTCTTTTAACATGTATCTAACATAAGGTGATGAATCTGGATCAGTTATCACACAACTTCAAAACATAGTAACATAGTGGCATGTATCATGCAAGAACCACAGTTAAAGCACACATTCTCTTGTCGTGTTATATTTCTTTCTATCTACACATGCATATTTTGACCCAAGACGAGTGACTGGTAAAGCAAAGAAAGTAGTTCCACGACCTCCACCTGTACTGTCCACTCGCCAAACTGGATTTCCAGCACGAGAGCCCAGCACTGGTTCTGCTATGCAAGATGACCAAAATCAGGTGAGGTTCCACTATTTTTTTCATTCTTTTCTTTCGGTCAAGTGACTCGAATCTATCCTGTCTAAACTAAACTGGATCTCTTTTTTCGTTACGAAGCCACTTAGTCGTAATGTGATGCTTGTTTCATGGTGATCGAATATTTTAGTAAATAGTTGGCAATAATTCCCAAATTTGTAAATGCGGTCTGGTCTTTTCAAGTTCTACCAAACTCCCCTGTTGTAAAAAATTGAATTAATTCGGACATATATTAATAGATTTTATTTGATGAATGTGATTAAAGGTCTGTCCAGTTTGCCTAACCAATGGAAAAGACATGGCTTTTGGTTGCGGACACATGGTAAGTTACCTTATCACAAAACATTTGGGCAAAGTAGCCAGCAAATATACCTTAACCAATACGAATGTGGCTTTTGCAGACATGTAGAGATTGCAGCATAAGGTTGTCCGACTGTCCAGTTTGTCGACGACCTATCACAAGCCGACTCAGGCTATACACTTGACAATAGCCATTGCCAGGTTCATATGAACTAAATTAGCACATTTCGTTGCGCGACTTCTCGGACAATGTGAATGTTTTACTGTGTAGTATTTTAGAAGTGGAAATAGGCACTTAAGTTCGGAAGTTGTGGACTTCTTGTGTATGCACTGAAGCTATATGTAAATATGTCATGCATTTCTCTATGCTATATTCGTGAAAGTTCAATATTTTTTTATGCCATGTCTTGCTATTTGTATGCGGGCAGTCCTTCCTGATTTCTTGATGCAGGTTTGGTCTCCTGTCTTGCTATGAAGCGTGCATAGTTGGGCTGAGCATTAGGCTTAAAGAATACCGAATCACTCATAGAAATCGCTCTGAATGAAAAATAACCGTTGATTGTTTGACTTTTTTTAAATCGAACCGCGAAAACAATCGGTACGGTTACCGAGAACCAAATAGAATCATCTAATGTTGTATCAAGAAACGAAGTTGTCTTTTCGTTTGATTTTATGTCAATTTTAGTACTATATTTTATGAATATTTTTTTACATTACTTAATAACATATAGATAACAATTAAAACTCACATCTAATAGTGTTAAAAGTTTATTTATATTTCTTTTTTAGTTATTTTCAAATTTTAATAGTTGAAATGATATGAAAATTTAGAAACATTATTTTCTAAATCATATCTACTTTATTATGAGTTCATATTTTCACCACTATGTTTCACAAAAAACAACCTCAACTAAAACGTCAGTTGTTTATATCATTTCTTATTTTTAAAGGTTGTTTTCAAGATTTTTTTAATAATATTAAAGATATATTTAAATTGAAACTTAGAAAAAAAAAAAAATATAATTATTTTATGGAACTATATCATAATTTAAAAAATTATTCAAATTAATAATTTTATTTTTTATTTTATTTAATTATTATGAATCCATGCATATTCAATCTGAAATTGTATCAAATAGTCTCGATACCCTTAATCATTCGAAGTGATCCGAATCGAATTATAAAGATCGCTAAATCAAATTATCCCAATGTTGTATAATTCTGCCTTAATCATTCGAAGTGATCGAATCGAAATATAAAGATCGCTAAACCAAATTATCCCAATGTTACAATTTCGAGGAATGAACTTTGACGATTTTTAATTTTTGGTTGGCTCTTAAGATTCCTTATGTTGTAAATAAAAATACTTGAATAAACTAAATTTGAATTAAGAAAACATTTGAATAAAAAAGTGAGTAAAAAGAGTGGATTTTTTTTTATATATATGTAATAATTATTAGATTATGAATTGATATGCGATAAAATGTAATGATTAAAAATTGATGTAATAAAAAAATAATAATTAAAATTGATGTAACAAAAAAATAATAAAATATGCAA